GATTAAGAATCCCACTTATGAAATTGTCATTATTGAGTATATGCATTATATAAACCTAGAGGAAGAAAAACACAAGTAAAATGAATGACATTGTGGAGGATCCAAATGAAAAGAAGAACGAAGTTAAAGATTTTCTAGGTAAAATTACGGCATTGAATAAAAACAGAACAAAATTTGAAAAATACTGAGAAAAATATGATGTTACGTGCTTTTAAAGGAGAATGCGATTGAATTTGATTGATCCTTAAAAAAATCCACTATTATTCCTCCTATTGCAAGGAGTATAGTATTTACATTTTTTTTTACGTCAACACCACGTTCATTGAGTTTGGTAAACAAATACTAGGGTTTGTACTTTATATGTACGAATCGATGTTCTGCTTCTATCTTGCCCACCCATTTTTCAACGATTAAATGTTGCTTTGAATATTATATGTATGTGTTATTCAGGGTATGTATTACATATATATCCTTCGATCACAGTGTAATATAATGCTATCATTTTAAAATGAATATCCTGTGATCAGTGTTTACTGATGGTTTCATCTAAAGCAATTATGTACATTTCTATAAACGTACTTCAATCGACGTATTATCTTGTTGGCAACAATTGACTGTCATCCGTATCTGCGCCAAGCATAAACCTATCAATTTTTTGTAATATTTAGCTTTTTTTCTAAATTATTTCATTAGCTGTTCCGTAACATGGATTGAATACTGGAAAACTTTTTGGGCGTTGTCTCATGATTGACAACAATATTAAATTATTTCTTCAGATCTAATGCCAATGATCATAATGAAATTCGAGTATGCTTTTCAATTATTCGCAATACTCTTCTTATATGGCGATCAGACAATGGTCCTTTTTCTGCTATGTTTGTGGTACTATAAACTGTTCTTAACTTTATATTAAACATTTGACATAACTCTTTAACAGATTTACCGAGGAACTAATTATAATATAATAACCTGAAAGTTACGTTCAAGCAACTTCAGTCTACATACAATGCTTTACTTACAATCTTACCCCATCAGCAGTGTATTGCCCCCCTCGCTTTATACTAAACGAAACGCAGTATATCGAGTTCTTCAAAACTGTGGTAGAAAAACTCATTGCTACAAAATACAGTTTTTGGGGCTCTCGTTTTTGCAATTCTAAAGGTCAAAACTTTTAAACGTGATAACAAATAAGAGCAACAACCTAGATGTCGCACCACCCGGACGTCCTACGTATTGGCCATCAATGTACACTAACTTAATATTTAAGTGTACTCAAGTTATGAATTATCATCGGATCACTCTCCAGTTGTCCTAATAATTCAAGAAGAACCCCAACTAAATCAAGGTCTACAAAGACATATAATTCAAAGCACCAACTGGCTGAAATTTATGAAACACATAAGTAGTCACGTTACCAATTAAAAAATTTAAAACAAGCATCAGATAGATGATGCCATACAAGTATTCACCATGATTCTCTCCTCAGCTACCGACATTTCTACATCACAAAATTCGCCTTCTTAGGTAAGAAAGCAACATTATACCATAGTAACAGCAAAATCGAAAGACTCCTAGCAAAAAAAAAGCTTCGTTGAGAATGGCAACAAAATAGATACCCATCAGCCAAATCTGTATTAAAAGAGACAGTAAGTCAACTAAAAAGTACTCTAGTAAGAGACAAAGACAACAATCGATAGAAATATATTAAAAAGCTGTCCCCAAACACGACTAACACAAGATCACTCTGAAAGGCTAATCAATCTATAAAAACTTCTGTACTCCTGTTGAAGGAGTACATCCGTTAAAAAACTCCAGCGGTGATATATATTTGCTAATCGTCAAAGTTAAATTTTACAACCTAATCCATTTAATAATTTGGATTTGCCAACTCAACATGTCAATAATAATATTATCAACTTACAAATCTCCACAAGCGATATCGAGGTCACCATCAACGAAAACCTCGTCTGCAAAAAAGCGCCTGGACACGATTCTATAATTCCAATCATGTTAAAAAATCTTAACCTCATATCCATTTCATTGATTACAAAACGTCATAATAAAATTTGGAAGTATCCCGACGAAATGGAAAAAGGCATTAATTACAATTATTCAAAAGCCCGGCAAGCATACAACACTAGCCGAATCATATAGACCTATAAGCTTGCTGTCTTGGCTGTCAAAATTGTTTGAGAAAGTGTTCCTAGCAAAACTCTAAGAAAAATAGATCTAAGAATGAGAGCTGATTTCAAGCTATCAATTAGGATTACGTCAAAAATATGGTACTATCGCACAAGTGAACAGAATAACTGACGAAATAAAAAGCGCCTTTGAAAATCGAAAATATTGCTCTGGTGTCTTTTCAGATGTTGTGCAAACGTTCGAAAAAGTATGGCATGAAGGCCTGATCCACAAAATACGACAAATACTTCCACAAGACTCTCACGCAGTAAATTAATCATACTTGATAGACAGATCTTTCAATGTAAAGTTCAGCGTGCACATAACTAAAAATTTCCCAATAAATGCAGGTGTTCCACATTCTTGACAGCGTTCTCGGTCCATTCTTGTACCTTATCTTCACTTCGGATATCACCACAAATACCAATTTTGTAACATCAACATTTCCTGACGATACAGATATTTTGTGCAGACATAAGAAAGCCACAATCACTTTTAGTCGACTGCACAAACATTTGTGCTTCGTAGAAAGGTCGTTGTTATTATAGCGAATTAAAGTCAATGAGCAAAAATGTTGTCATATAACATTCTCTCTTAATAGTTCTCCTCATCAACTATCACTCTCAAGAGAATAATAGTTCCGCAAGCAGAAACAGTGACATACCTTGGTATTCACCTTGACAAACGCTTAACTTGGCGGAAGCATATTGAAGCAAAAAGGACTCAAATGAAGATCAAGATTATCAGCCTTCGCTTTCTAATCGGGCATCAGTTTTCCTTACGTTTAGAGTACAAAGTCTTGTCATACAACAAAGTCATTAAGCCAAACTGGATGTATGGCTTACAGCTATATGGCAATGCCTGTTCGCCAAATGTAAAAATCCTGTAAAGAGCTCAAGCAAGGACTCTAAGAATGATAACTAGTGTACCTTGGTATATCAGAAAAGAAAACATACATTTCGATTTGAGAGTTCCAATGGTTAAAGTCGAGTGCCAGAAAATAAGGCCGAAACTTATTTCATATCTGGCTAGATCTTTTGCTAATATGAACACTTCCTCTAGACTGAAACAGAATGAGAGACCCGCCATCCTGCTTTCCTAAAGATCATTTATTCAACTTATACGACGTGTCATCTGATAAATAAGCCCTGGCTTCTTATTCAGAGTGAGTCAACACTCCTCAACACTCCTCAACAAATAAAACTTTCCAAAATTTCTTGTCTCTCTTATTATTTAATTGATACTATAAACTTCAGATTGTTTGTTTTAAATTTTTGCTACGTAGTCAATTTAATATTTCAGGTCTAACTAATGATGTTTATATATGTATGTGCTTATACATTATGTTATTATATTCGTGTGTCATTATAAATAATTACTCCTAAAAATTTTTCGCCATATTACGACTACATATGTTTAAATCAAATATTTCACAGTTAAAAATTATGAAAAGAAAATAAAAATATTGCTGGAATCAAAGTATTCAAAAAAATTATATTAAAAATAATGCATACATCTTTATTTTATAATAATGGTTTTTATATATTTTTTTATCAGACTATAGGTCACTTTTTGTTGAATAATTCAATGTTTGTAGGAATATAGACAATAAAATAAAGATGATGATGTATGGTAAATATAGTTTTATTAATATTAATTTATGTTGAAGGAGATCAAGGAGAGAGTCGATATATATGATATATTAAAACATATTAAACAAACATTGATAAAGAAATATATAAAAACCATTATAAAAAAACAGGTCGATAAATGAATTCAAAATTTTATTGCTTATTTTATTTATATAAAGAATTGTTAAACAATTTTTGAAAAAAATATGTTAAAATAATAAATAATTTATAAGTAACAACTTTAAGAAACAATGAAACATGTCAGAAAAATGTTCAAATTGGTTTTTGTAGTACAGATTGCATTTGGACAATGTCACAAAAATTTCCAAAGTCGTTTTTTATCAGTTAATGTAATATTTATAAAACAAATATTAAATTTAAAATATAAAATATTATGAAATGATTACTATATATGAAATATGTGACGACAATACCTTAATCTGAAATGGACTTACAACATAGTCAAAGCAAAAAAATTTTAAATTATTCAAAGAAATACAAATAAATATATATACAAAATATTTCAAAGTTTTAGATTAAAAATCTTATTTAATAAAATCATATTCTTGATTTAAATAATTATTGAAAATATTTTAACTTTTTAAGTACTTTAATATATAGTTTATTTCAATACAAGCACTGAGTTACAGAAACTTAATAAATTATCATTTGCAAAAATAGTTAAATGGGTTTAATCATATGCCAAATATGAATTAGTATTAATTGTAAATATAATAAAACTATAATTTCACATTTTAATTCAAATTATTAGCAAAAAACATATAAACATATTTTTAAATTTATCAAATATAAGCAAAAAAAATGTCATGAAAAACTAAGCCTAAAGGAATATAAAATTTTTCCATTTCGTCAATAAAGTGTGTGTTTTTCTAGTTAATAATAGGAATTAAAAATAGAGTTCAATATTGAAACCAGTATATATATTATTACTTACTTCCTATGATGTTTGGTACCTGTTGGTTTTTGCATACGATTTTCCTGATTATAATTATGGAAATTTGCGCCTTCTATATTCGATGACAAAAAATTATTCATCACAGGAACAAAGGATGTTAAAGGTGTTGTTCATCATATTATTCGAAAATCATTAAATAGATGGTCCTAGAGGTCTCGGTAAAACAGTTGTTTGGTGTTTGGGTTGTACGCAGTGCCGTAGCTATAGGTGCTTTATTGCTTTATTGCTTTATTTGAATGCGAATTTGGTTTTGCGCCGCCTTCGTCCTCATCAGATGAACATAAATCAATTGTATCAACAAGTATTTGGTTGGCTGCTGATTTCTCGCATTTTGCATTATGACTATTTTTGAGGATTTTTTTAATATTCAGTTTTGAACCACTATCCATAGGTGACTTATTTGTTTGTTTAACTTCCTGATAATTAAGTTTCTTGATTCGTACTTTGAGTGGTCGACACTGTTTAATGAGTTCCCCATTGAAGAAATCAAGATCCTCTTTACGGTGACGTTGTAAATGCTGACGTCGTGGATATTTATATATATGATACCATCCTGTTGGATCCTGTTGTTTTTTGTAAGTTATTCGAATATTTTTTTTTTGGACATACTTTTTATCAAAATATTTTGGCCTTTGTACACCTTTCAATAACAATGGTGCTTGACAAAATCGATCCAAATGAACGAGACGTTTAGTGATATAATCTGTTGTAACGTTCGCTTCTGTAGCACGTATTAACAGTTCACCAGCAGGTGATGTTAATGGAATTGTTGGGCATCGTGCTAGGGGTTGAACGGCCCGTTTACGTCTTCGTAAATGCATTGTTTTGTGCAGTATCATGAAATCATCTCTTGCAGGACTGTCATGTTGCTTAACTTTGTTTAATGTTAATGCTTCGTCAGATATTAAACCAAAATTTGATAAAAACATATTACGTTGTTCATTGGATTCTAGTGAGTTACTTGGTTCTAATTCTAGTGAGTTTATTGGTTCCAAGGTGTCAAGTGATATCATTGCCATCATCAAAAGGTGTGTTTTCGTCTTCCTGTGGATTGTAAAGAAAGTCGAAATAAATTTTTAATTTAAAAACTCAAATAAGGAAATGTCATATTTAAGCATTTAATATAGTTTGAATGTTTTATGTTTTCGATAAAAGAATTTTTGTGCCTACTATTTTTATATATGAACAGCAGATAGAATCAGCACGATAGAGACAAATACCATTAGCTGCGTTTTAGCCAACAATGATCTGGATCTTCTTTGCTGAAACGATACTTATCACATGTCAAAGTAATTGGCAAAGCAACAATCATGTCAGCTGTTTGGATTCGTTTTGATGTTTTGTTTTGATTTGTGTGAATAATTTTGGCGCCAAAAGAATTATATGGCAAAAGTGGAAGCCCCGAAAATATTTCCGTTCGTGATTGGTTGCAAAGACAGTAGACATTTTAGAATAAGTGCTTCACACTATGGCAAGGAAGCTTATTTCAATAGGAAGCATTATTTTGGCTTAATCTTGCAGGCAAATTGCCTTTTCATAGACGTGCATATTGGAGAGCCTGGTTCCTTACACGACAGCCGAGTTTTATGTAGATCGCAACTGTATAGTACAGCATCACCAAAGAAATTCCCCAGCTGTTCTTCTCCTTTAGGAGATTCTTCACATCTGCCGATTTGCATGTAATGCATTAGAAGGCAAGGATTGTCATAGAAAACACACTTGATCATATGAAAACAAGGTTTCGTCGATTGTTATATTTTATGGAACTACAAAGAACACCATAAATAACAAATTTTATTATGCGTGCATACATATTGCATAATATATGTTGTACACAGAATGTTAAGTTCATAATGAATTCATTCAGAATGAGTATATCCACGAGGAATACATAATAAATCCTCAATATCGTAAAGTGGATGACATATGGAATTTACCATAGTATGAAATTATTCGATGTTAACCATGAGTCGTTATGACACCAGTTTCAATTATATATCGCATAATTGAAACTGGTGTCATAACGACTCATGGTTAACATCGAATAATTTCATATTGATTCATTTTCAAATGAGTTGTAAAGAATTGTGAAGAATAAAGCATATTTAACAAGTAAATTACGTGTTCTTCTGTTCTAATTAAACAAAAGAACTCAACTTAATTTTCATATATTAATTTCAAATTATTTGATTTTAATAAATAATCAAACAATATTTTCAATAATAATTAAACATGAATTATTAAAGTAATTATTTTAATTAGTGTAATAATTAAAACATTACATCAAACAAAGAAATATATAATAATGACATAATAAACAAATAAATAAATAAAACAAATAATAAATAAATAGTAATGTAGTTTTGTTTATATTTTTTATTGCACCGTATCATATGTTAAAATCGCATTACCAACGACATTTTCATTAAAATATATTCCACTTTTATTTTCTACATACTTTCCACATTGAACCAGAATATGAACCTGATCAATTGGGGTTCACCCCATTGTTATTGTTTTGCTAGTAAAATTGGTTGAAACGCAGCTCTTGTATATGCATTTTTTGTTTTCTAACATTTGTAGTCAACATTCAGAGCTTCCTGGAGAAACCGACTAGATCGTTAAAAAAAAAACACAAAAGAGCTTCTAAAAAGCGTAAAACCACCAAATCTCCAATTGTGTCACGAACTCTTAAGAAGATGACACAAAAGTAATCTAATGAAACGGTAAAGCCATCAATCAAGTTACGACTACCACCAATTATGGTAAACATTTCCGACAACTACAACGATACAAAAAAAATAATGTCACAAAAAAGCAAAAATAAATCATCAACATTACTCTTGACTACAATTTAAAACCAAGAAATCTCTGGACATGTTCTTCTTAACATTTAAGTCTACTGAAGATACGAATAAAATTAATGAAATTAAAGAGATCTTAACACGATTGTAACTATAGAAGCAATAAAACCTTCAAAACTTATTCCACAGTGCATCAAATGCCTATCCTTTAACCATACCAGAAACTACTGTCAAAAGCAACATAGATCTGTGAAATGTACAGGAAAGCATGAAACTATAAATTGTGAAAAACCTGATGATAGTCACCCAAAATGTCAACTATAGTGAGTAACATCCAGCGTCATATCGGTTGTGTTGTAACAAAGGAGCTACGAAAACTAAGAGACCAAAAAACAAATAAAGCTCCTGCCCCAGTTCAATCAAATAATATCAAAAGATCCATACCACATACAAGCATTAAGCATTATCAAGAAAATAAACTCTCAACTGATGAGTTCCAAAAGAGTGGTTCCAAAATCCTAATAACGTCCATTTATAGTCCACCAACTGATACTTATATTATAGTACTGGCCAACTGATACAAACAAATTAAAGATGTCATTTTCATTTTAAATAAAACCCATTCTATATAACATTCTATATACGCAACCCAAACCAACATTAATGTACCGTCCAACAGATTGGAATTATTTTAAGAACCAAATAAACATTGATGACCTAGAGAGCAAAACGCATAGCTTTACTAGCTTGATTTAAAAATAGATGTTGCGCAGTTCAGCAGAATAGTAAGCAATTTGATAAGATATATCCAACCGAAATTTTAAACCTATCCTGTAATAACAGAAAACTTCGCAAATCACGTTTAATGCAAGATAAAAGAAACCTTAATAGGACCCTCAAAAATTGAGATAAGAAATCTAAAACCGTGAAAATGAAACTGATGGGAAATATATTACAACCTTGACATATGATAGTAAAACTAATTATTTTCTCTGGAAAGATAGGAAAAAATATCACAGACTCAATTCCCATATTTCTTCCTTTTTTATTTGGGCAAAAAAACGTTATTGTATAGGCACTCGAAATCCAGCACATAGAGCCAAATAACAATCCAGGTAATGAAGCTATTTTGCTGATAAAAAACAAAGAAGTTGGTGGAGAAATCAAGAAGCGAAAGTGAATTGTTGAAAAAGCTACCTCCAAAAGGTTTGTACAATTATTTCAAGCGGGAATAAAATCAAATCATGTCCCAAGTTATTGGACAGTTACCGAAGTGGTGATGGTTCTGAAACCAGACAAGGATAAACATTCTCAAGCTTCGTATAGACCACTCTCGCTCTTGCCATCCATAGAAAAATTATTTGAAAAGCTCATTTGTAAAAGACTTGAAAAAAATAGTTTGCAAAGAAATTTTATTCCATATCATCAGTTTAGATTTCGTAAAAAACACGCAACGATCAAGCAAATGAATAGAGTTACGCACGAAATCGAAAAGGCCTTAGAAAGCAAGGACACTTGTTCAGATGTGTTTCTTGATATCTCAACGGCTTTTGACGGCGTCTGGCATTCTGTCCTTGTATATAAGCTAAACACTATTCTGCCACAGCAATACTGTGAACTACTGGAATCGTATATTGGCAAAAGGTACCACCGGGTTAAATTACATACTAGGCACAT